GTCTCTCATATGGATTACAGGGTCTTGGAGTACGAGCACTGGTTGTTTGGCAACTTTGAATCATCTATCACATTGCATTAGCTGGAGCATGGTGAATTGTTGTTAATTGATTGTTTTTCAGTATAAGAAAATGAATAAAAGGATTGTAGACCCACTGCTGAGCAGCAAATGAAAATTTTCTCCTGGCCTGGATGAGGGGAGTTGGCTCTTTATTTAAACCCAGTGGAGCCTCAGAAGAAGAAGTACATTCCAGAATAAGCCCCAGTGGATAAGTTTTATTAAGCATTTCCAAGAATTGGAGGCTGGAGTGTGGGTAGAAAGAGTACATCATTGAATAAATATGGGAGCTCAGAATTCCCTGAGATATCTCTGAATATCCAATATCTTCATCTGAGCATGTGCTCCTCCAGAAGTTATGTGTATATTTCCTATATATTCACATATGTGTATATTTTCTACCTGAGATTTAGAAAGGGAACCAGTTTAGGTAAGTCACTGCAGAAAACAGTGATTCACAAAATCACACTTAGCTGCTCAGTGGCCCCAGGGCAAGTCTTTTACTTTGGCCTTCTTCTGCCAGGAAAGCTGTGGAGGGCAGTTCAGTGCAGGGGTGCTGGGTCCTCACAAGACTTGGACCCCAGGAGTGGCCCTCACAGCTGCTGCATGGTGGTCCTCCCCATCTGGGATCAGATTTGCATCTTCCAGTGTTGAGATCAGCCCTTCCACACTTCCCTTCACACTGCTGTGGTTGAAGGAACACACCTTCCACATGAGTGTTTTTACACCACTCTCTCTGAATTGCTTCAAGGTAAACACTGAACAGGGAATACTTGTTCTTTCTGAATTAGCTATGAGGGAATTATAAACACAAACAGGTCACTTATCACTTTGTGATTCTATTCCTCATATGGTCATATTTTCTCCAACTCCATTTTAGGATGGAAGTACTTAACTAGTTTCGATTATCCTTCATGATGATGAAAAATGAAGTGATTTATCAATATTCTCATTATCTCTAGTGCATATGTTTTAAACAGATGATGTCATCACTCAGGAGACCTTCTTCTAGCAAGAATTTTCCAAACCATGTTCAAAATACTCTTTACGCTCAAGGTTAACGACAGATCCGAGGCGTAATATATCATGGGTTGCCTCGAAGGGAATCTCAAAGGTCTGGCAAATGCAACTGGCTGGACATGCGAGCAACAACAGAAAAGCAGAGTTACATATATTTTGGAAAGCAGTGGTGGTCTCTTGGAAACAACAAAAATGAAGGGCTCTGAGATGCCACAGGGGAGAGCCTCCTCTCCTCCACTTTGCTGTAATTTGAAAAGTATTTCTTTCCTAGACAAAAATGATTGTGTAATAAGTATGGCTTTTCTGGAGTTAGAAGCTTTCTAGCAATGACTAGTAATATGCTATTTTACATGTCCCTATTGCCATTTTTTCAGACGTGGCATTCCTGGCCACATCTGCATATGGAAAATTTGACACCGAACAGCACTGGCCACAGCCCCACAGAACCATAACGAGGGTCTGAGCTGCAGGCCGAGACAGTGAGGCCTTGGGAGCAGCAGGAGTTTCCCACTCCCCGGGGGTGACAGAGCTCACAATCAACCACCTGACTTGGGACTGTCACAGGAATGTCAAATGGGTATGAAGTGTGCTCAGAAAACAACAATAAAGCAACTGAAGAATCGTTGCATGAAGGGGCTTCCACACTCGAGCCAATAAATCATCGTGGAGGTCAAACAGGCTAAAGGCTAGCTGAATCCTAAATTTTGGAAAGGGGAGGAAGGGTTAAAGGGAAAAACAAGATTATGAAGGGCATCACGGATGCTAAGCACTGCAAAGTCAGCCCATTGACACATCTACACAGGAGAGGAATCTTGAATAAGGAGATTTAATGACGAAAAAGGCCCTGTCAGTAAACATTCTCTTCTACTCAGAGAAAAAGAAGGAAAACAAAAGGTTGATTTCCAGAGAAAGTTCTGAAAGGCTCTCTAGATCTATGGGATGAGTATATCACAAGCGGACTGCATTCCCTGTTTGTTCCTCACACAGGGAGTTCCCACCCAGCGTGACACGACAGGGTGTGGGGTAAAGTGAGGCCTTGGGTGTGTGAGCTGTGAGATAAAATGATGATAGGGGCTTGCTTCTTGGTGTGGCTCCGCATCTAGCTCTGTGGGTAGGGCAGGCTCTATTTACTCATGGGCTGGTTTGTCTCACATTAATCCTAGGGCACAGGGCCACACCATCTTCTGGGACTCCTTTGGGAGGTGACCATGACCCGTGTAGGACAGCACCTCTTCAGCTGGCTCCAAAATCAGAATAAGTAAGCATAATGCACTTTTCATTCCTCTAGCCTGAGCACCTCCTTTATGCAATTCTAATTTTTAAAATTGTCATTGCATCATGCATGTGCCAGTATATTCTAGGTTCTATGAAGGTGACAAAAAAATTCACATATTCTGTCTTTCTCCCATGGAAGGACAAGAAACATACAAACATAGGTGGGAGGGAGCAAGAGACTTGCTCACATCTTAGGACTTTCGGTATTAGACGAGACAAGGGTTGAGGTTAGGGTTGATCCCCTTACCCTCCACCCTCCCCCAACTCTGGCACATTTATAAATACCACACAAAGTACAGAGCAAGAAGTTCTGGTTTCAGGAGTCATTGAAATAATATTGTATAAAGGAGGAATTTCTTCCCTTTTACCCATAGGAAACTAAGGCCTCGAGCGTAAAGGAGACTCATAGAAAGGAAGCAGAACAGAACCTAGGTCTTCTGGCCCTTAGGTCTGGCCAGTAGCTCCCCAAATGGATTTTGCATCTGGGATGCAGCCTCAGAGGCAGCACAATTCTTGTTTCCCTAACGAAGGCACCCCCCAGGGATGTTAATAGGTGTTAGGAAAAATAAATCAATAAAAAAGAAAAACAACCAGGTTCAATGGTCAGTTAAGTTTAGGGGAACATAGATGAAACAACATGACATAGATTTCTCCCCTACAGATTTCGTAGCACATTTGATCTATGTTAAATTTGATACATGTAAATCGTTAATGTCTTAAGAGGGGCATTATTGGACTCTGAACACTATTGCTAGCTAGCAAGCTATGTAACTAGCTATCTACCCACCTACCTATCTATGTTACTACCTATCTATTTCATGGAGTATCCTCCACATCAGCATTTCACAGACCTACTGGCAAAAAATGTCAACCTTGAATCTTTGGTAAGGTATGGCGTGAGAAAATTATACTAGAGTGTATCTGTATACCAAAGTGAGCTGGGCTTAAAGGCACCATGCTGTCCCCTTTTTGACTTTGCAGTGATGTGACAGTTCCTAAAGCCAATGAAAATCTCTTCACATGTCTTCATGTATGCTTATTGATCTTTTGCAGCTAAAGAATAAGTTTGAAAGAAATTAGTGGACACATTAAAAAATATGAACGAAATCTAACCAAAGCTATACTAATCCACTTACCTTTTCAAAGAGGTGTTGCAAGTGAACCAAGATTTATAACTATGCAACCCCATCCTAAGGCTCCAATCCACACACAATCATGAACTCAAAAAGGCTTTCAAAGAGGAAACTTATAAAACAGTGATGACTGAAATATAGTTCTCCTCTTCAGCAATTTGCTTTACTAGGTTCAGTGTATCAGAGAAGGCAGAGAAAAATTAAACTTTAATTCAACTCTGGGACTGTTTTGAGCATTTCCTTGTGAGCCCAAGTGACAGTTTCTACTCTATGCTTCTGATGAAAACATTTTTTAAATTATATTAACATAATTTCTGAAAAGCATCTAGAAGTGAATAAAAGGATAGAGATTGCTTTTGTAGCTCCAGGAAAAAAAGGAAGGCCCCCCTGAGATATGGGGAAGGTTTGTTGGGAGCAGTGGTATTTAAGCTGGGCTTTGACAAAGGAAAGGCAATTTACTAACTAGAGAAAGGCAAGGGGGTAACTCTCCAAGGTGGGAGAACAGCGTGTGCAAAGGCATAGAGGCATGATATCTCCTGAATGTTCCAGCAGTAGTGGGAGCTCTGGTGTGGCTGGAGGGATACACCTGAGGAGGCTTTGGAAACCTTATTATAAGCGACACTCTATGTCATTCCAATAAATTCCATGTTCATCTCACAGGCTGCCAGTGAACGCGTTTCTAAGTATAGTAGAGTCGTGTTTATTTATATATGTACTTTAGAAAGATAACTTTAAGGAAAAATGGAGAAGCATGTGCTGGAATGTGAGAGACTGGTGACCAGAGTGATCCATCACACAACTATTAGAGACGTTCTGGTGAAGGAAGCTGTAGGCAAGACCAGAGAGGCAAGTCTGAGACCACATGACAAGGTTTAGTGCCTGACTGGATGTGGTGGTGAGAAGGAATTGCTGAAGACAGCCCCCAGGTTTCCTGCTGCAAGTGTGGTACCCTCTAGGTACTATGTATCGTACATGGAACCACTGAGAGATCTCAAGATGGCAGAAAAAGATATAGGTTTCCCCGAAGTAGCTAGTAGAATATAGTTTGCTTCAGCAATACCACCAAAATGGGTTCACGTAAAGGTACAAAGAGAAAACCATCCCCACAACTTTATAGGAGCTGCTATCTGCAAGGCCCAGGGTGCCCACAATTTCTCATCTGCAGTCTTGTTTGATTTTAGGGATTATTCTTCTCCTGAGTCTGAGCGATACCAGTACATAAAATACATACACCCACAGCCTCATTTGGCCCAGAGGTTATCATTAATCATATTTAGTAGACTGTGATATCTTAAACTTCAACAAATGGTGAGTCAGCTCAGCTCCATGTCAAAGTGCCTTGCTAACCAAGGAGACATTCCCAAAGGCTTCCTGGTATGCTGGATCATGTCACAGATATGGAAAATAGAGAAAGATAAATCTTTGACCCCACCTAGACACACCTAGTTTGAGTAAAGCTGGTTAGGTACAAATATGAGAAGGGCTCTCATCTGAGTTCATGCCTGCCTTCCCCTCCACTCTGTTGCTTTGGTGAAGCCAAGATGAAGCTCACAGTGAGTAGATTCTTCCTTTTGAATTCATTATCTGATGATTAGAGATTGTTAATACTCTGACCTAAGTAGGTCTGCTTCTTATGACAATCTCTCTATAATGGAAAATTTGCTTTGGAAAAAAATCTCCTTCCTTTTCACTGAATTGTGGCAATTAAAAGCATCTCTGTGGACAGTCATAGTTATACTGCGAGCAGACCGCTGTGCGAGCGTCACATACCAGGCTATCTGAGTACAATTACCTTCCAGGTCTCCTTATTCAGTCCTGGTCATACAGCAGTCAGTCCCTAAGCCCTAGAAAATAGCTGCTCTTTCTCCACATTGCCAAGTCCCTCTTTTGACCAAACTCCTGAGCATATTCAGGGAAGATAAAAGCTCATGATCAAATCAGATGGGTGAGAGACTTACTGTCACATCCTGGGCTGTGAAATGGATCTCCAGGTAAGAAAGATTTGCCTGAACCCTGTCCAGTCATTTACCCATGAAAACACCTGAAGCGACGAAGCTAGTGCAGCCTCTCGCCTATGGCTCCAGATAAAAAGCTAAAAGTAGAGTAGGTAGACTACAAAATCCCACCAAAGTAACTGGTGGTATTGTGTGCCACTTATAACAAGATGCAGAGAGGCTAGAAATCCAATGAATATTTTCATATTTCAATATACTAAACACTGTTTTACAGCAGCCTCTGCTTTGTAGTGGAGTTGCAGATGTAAGATAATTATCTAGAAATAAGCTCTAATAACAGCACAGTCAAAAAATTTTTAAAAAAAGAAAAAAGGATTTCCTACCCTGGGTCAGATCTTGTTTCTCTTCTAGTTTTACTGTGAACAAGGGGTACAATCTTAGCCGATATAACCTTGGCCACATTACTTAACATCTGAAGCTAATTCCTTATGTGACTGGATTGCCCTGCACTGGTGGATATCTAAAAGTTCCCCCACCTCTCACTGTTTAGGAGACTAATTTTTACCTCCTTCTTAAGTTATCAGGAGAAAAATTAAGCAAATAAAAGAATTACCTTAAATCACCAGGGGAGATCTCAAACCATTTTGTCCCAGGTAAAGGAAATGAGAATAGGTACTCAGAATCAGGGACCTGCATAAAGCTCTGTGTTCTGATAACTAATGTCAGGTACCCGATGACAAATGACTAACCCAGGTATCCTGGGGCAGTTACTGACTTCCTTTCTGCTAACCATGCTTGACAGCCAGACCTCTCCATCCTTGGTCTCTCAGTAGCAGCAACCAGCCTGCTTAACAACCCATTGCTTTAAAACATTTTTTCTAGATAAAAAGAGTCCTTCTTTATCAGGAGGTTGGTGATGGGAGGAAAGCATCTCAGATCAAAGAGTAAAATTAAATCTTTTTCAGACCTAATTCTCAGAACCTATATCCATCTTCATATTGTGTATGTTATTCATTTTCAAATATATTTTTCAATATACTGGTACTATATAAGTTTTTTATGACTACATTAATAATTTTTTTCTTTTTTTGAAAAATGTTTATTTATTTTGAAAAAGAGAGAGTGTGTATAAGTAAGGGAGGGGCAGAGAGAGGGGGAGAGAATCCCAAGCAGGCTCCGCACTGTCAGCATAGAGCCCAATCTGCAGCTGGAACTCATGAACCATGAGATCATGACCTGAGGGGAATCCAAGAGTCAGATGCTTAACTGACTGGGCCACCCAGGTGCCCTTCCATTAACAATTCTAAAACTATATACCACAATAACATGATTACTACAGTAGTTAACCTATAATCTTACACTGTCATTAAAACTTTCTATGGTTGAAAAAAAATACAAGGTCAAAGAAGTAGGAAAGATCACTCGAGAGAGTGGTAAAATCGGTATTTTTTATAACCTTGGATAGAGAAAGAAGAGGACATTGTTTTGTGATGTGATGGTAGACCAATGTTATTTATGATTTTTAGATTGTCTTTGCTGGACTTCTTGGAGTCTTCCTGACCCCAGCCCTTGCTTTCACTGTAAGTATTAAACGTTTTAAAGTGTATTAGTAAAATGCATTTGCAAAGAAATGTGGTACTAAACCACTGTCAATTTCTTGTAAATTTTAGGATATTAACATTGGCGGTGACAGCAACAGTGGTATAAGTGGGCAGCAGTCAGTGAGTGTCAACAATGAACATAATGTGGCCAACGTTGACAATAACAATGGATGGGACTCCTGGAATGTCCTCTGGGATTATAATACTGTATGTAGCCAACACGCAATTTCCATTCTTTACAAATATGATGTTCCTTTTTTTTATAACACCAACAAAATGTCTGCTAACCATAAAAGAATTAAAAATAAAATAATTTCTAACTGCACATAAGTATAGAGTTAAGTAAGTCAAAGTGCCTACTTTGGTCACCCAGTTTCACGGCTAGCAATAACACTATTAATGTTTCCCACAGTCAGTTAAAATTCAAACCAATGAGCCATAATTAAGACCCACCATGTCTACGGAATTGTGGGGCTGTTAGAAAAATATGAGCAACCTTCTGCCTTCTCTCAGGATAACCGCAGGAATGAGGGAAAGACCTGCACAATATTAGTGTTGCCTATCTCAGTCTGTCTTTAATTTCCTTCTAAAAAGACAGAGATGGACATTTCATCTGTAACTCAAAAGAAAAAAACAAACAAAGGAAACTTAAGTGACAATATTAACTGGTAAGAGAAGCACAAAACCAAAACCAAGCAAAAACGACACTTGGCTCTGGTTAGGAGACCCCAGTCCACACTTACCAGCTTTGTATGTAATAAATTTTGTACTTTTAAAAAGCCTATTCTTTATTGTTTCAGTTTTATCCATGCGGTCAATTAGAAAACTAATCCCTGTCTTACCTGTCTCCTAGAAATGTTGTGAAGATCAAACGAGATGAAAACGTGATAGCAATTTAAAGTTTATTTCAGCAAAACGGACATATGTGGAGCGACTCCATGCTATAACCTGAACATAAAGCAATGAGTTAGATACTAGGTTCTTACAAATGTTAGTTATAGACATGATTGCAAAACAGGGCCAGATCTGATGTTCTTATCTAGGTTCATCATAATCTTTGAGTTCTATTTCCCTCTGCTGGTAAAACTGATGTCTGATAAGACAAGCTCCTTGGAGAACCTACTTCCTTCCATCTCCCATCTTCTTTAACAGAACTTTGCTGCAGTTAGAATCTTTAAAAAGAAGGTATGCATTGTGCACAGAATGAATAAGGATGCCATGCCCTCTCTTCATGCTCTTGATGCACTGGTCAAGGAAAAGAAGGTATAAATAAAAGTTTTTTTAATTTTGCTCAAGGGAGGTCTTTTGGTTCCCAGTAAATAAGAGATCACAGTCATTTCCTGTTGGCCACAGTATGGTGTAATGTGCAGCACAAAAAGAGAAAAGGGACTAGTAATTTCCTGAGGAGAGGCAGTTGTCACCACACTCAGTGTTGTGGCTCATACCTGCCTTTATTATTCGAGGAGCAAAGCTCTGCTCAAGCCAATGGGAGCCACCCGCACTTCTCCAAGTACATTTTTCCATAAGAGTTGGGTTGGGGTTATTAGATTTAGAAATAAAGAAGAGGATACCTAGTTCAGTTTGAGTTTCAGATAAACAATGGGTAGGGGTTTTTTTTAAGCATAAGTATATCCTATGCAATTTTTAAGACATACTAAAAATGATTTGTTTATCTAAAATTTAAATATAACTGAGTGTCCTTTGTTTTATCTGGCAACCCTATTTGGGTGGAGACGGGAGATCCACTGCTCTTTAAAATGTTTGCTTGAGTTCATATTTCTGTAACTGACAAATAGGTACCTTTCACTGACAAGGTAAAGAAAATAAACTCCATTCTCAGAATCTGATTATTATATAGCTCAATCCAAAAAACACAAAATGACCATGCTTCAGCATAATTTAGCCTCAGATTTCTGCTTTTTATGAGAAACCGAGGTTTCACACCAGCTAAATCTTTTGGGACACAGAAATTCTGAGATATACAGCGTTGGAATTGGCTCCTCTTCATTTTGATTATGAAAAAACGGTAGCCAAGAAAGACCCCATACTGGCCTTGTACCCATCCCTCATTCAACAAACCACTGGGACAGGCATTCATTCCCTCTTTTCCTTTCCACACTCGGCTTCAGGGTAAAGGACCAGAGGGGCCACCTCCCAGGAGTCTGATGTACTCAATCAACCCTGAAAGAGTCAGTGACCTGGAAAAGTTAGGAAAACCCATCGCTGGCATGTGCAGAGGGATTCCAACATACATAGCTAATGAGCTTGAAGGTGAGTAGCCTTTCGATGGTGCATTGTGAGTTACTGCTGCTGCTATGGTCAGACTATTCTAGATCATGTCTACAGAAGACACCAATTACTTGGCACTTGCTCTGTGCTTAAGTGTGTTAAATTATTAACTCCTGCCAGCAGTCTTACGTGACAGGTTATTGTTATTCCCGCTTTCTGGATGAGGAAACTGAGGCACAGGGAGAGATCACAAATCCCTTGTCCGGGTCAGTCCCATGCATTTTGGCTTTGGGTTCTGTGTTCTTCACCATTTGGAAATATGACCTTTCAAGAGTGGATCTGGAGTTACCACAAAATATATTTACAGTGTTGCATGAATTTCCCAGTGAAAAAAGAATGCTAGTAGAATCCATTGACTTGTTAATAGCTCATTGACTTAATTTCTGGGCTTTCAAAGAATAACTTGCATAAAACAAAGTATCCACCTACTTAACCTAATGGCAACTTCCCAGATCTCTGAATTGATTGATTTAATCTAAGTAGATAGATGATAGATAGATGAATAGATAGATAGATCTTAAAATTTGTGCAGAGCCAGTTTGGAAACTATGACACTCAAAAAAAAAACAGTCCTTGAAAAGACATTGATATCAGTTTCTTCTTCTTCTTTTTTTTTTTTTAAATCAGGGGCAAGCCTGTTCTTTTACTCAAGAGCATGCGCCCATCTTGATGTACTCTGGATTCTGAAACTTTCCTTCTGTGGACAATTGGACTTCTAAAAAAAAGTCACTTTGAATTTAATCATCAGAATATTTTATGCAAAACGATTGGGTTCTAAAGGTTTTTATCATGTCATTCTGAACTGTTTTTTCCAGTTATGTTTGGCTTCTTTAAGTTTCAATAAACCTACTTAGCACTAAATTCCTTATGATGTCTATTTAGAATGCATAGGATCAAAAGTGCAATGTGGTGGCGGCAGGCTGTCCAAGTGCATTAGACCCAACTGTTAGCCTATATTCAGGTCCTGTCCCTTATAAAGAACCCCTTCAGATGCTCTGGATACTACTAACCACGGTTCTGGGAATGAATCCAAGACAATCTGACTGCTCTAAAAAACTGTTCCACAGTTGATGTGCACAGTAACATTTCAGATCAGCAAGGGCAGAAATCCACTCAAACAGGCTTCTGCCAGAGAGGGAGGCTTACTGCAAGATACTGGAGTATCTAAAGCAGTCTTAGGGCAAGAAAATCAAAGACACTGGAACCAGGAACTATATTGAGATGAAGATCAAGTCTCTTCTCTCCTGGCAGCCACGTTTTAGTTCTTCTCTGCTCCTCTTTAAATTCTGCTTCTCTTTTCAATAAAAATTTTTAAAAAATGTTCTTTGTGGGTGTCTGGGTGGCTCAGTCTGTTAAACATTCGACTCTTGATTCTGATTCCTGTCATGATCTCACGGTTCATGAGATCGAGTCCTGAGATAGGCTCTGCTCTGACAGCACAGAGCCTGCTTGGGATTCTTTCTCTCTCAGCCCCTCCCTTGCTCTCTCTCTCTCTCATTCTCTCTCTCTCTCTCTGTCTCTCTCTCACTCTCCCAAAATAAATAAATAAATAAATAAATAAATAAATGTTTAAAGTCTGCTTCTCTTGTCTTTCCATCTTGCAGATGGCTTTTTGCTTATCATGGCAGAAGGTGGCTGAACGAAAATATTGGCCTCATCTCCCATGTTTCTATCTTTCCAGCTCAGGAGGCAATGTCTTATTCTTTTGAATCTCAATTCCAATTTTCTTTGACCTTATTTAGTTCAAGGGCCCACAACCTCCACTCACTGGCCAGGGGAGTGAAGTCATATGGTACAGCCACAACAACGTGGTGGCCACTGAAGGAGAAAGATCTCAGAAAAAAATAGAGACTCCAAATATTGTGTATGACAGTATAAAACTACCATTCATAAAAAAAAAAAAAAAAAAAAAACCCTCCCATGCATTCTTTTTAAATCCTGATGCCATGACAGGATATCTAACCCATTCTAATGTTTTCATATCAGACACCCCTAAATAGCCATAACAACAACAAAAAAAATGAAGACACTGATTCTCACCATTTGGAAAAATGCAATATTTACCAGGCCTTATTGGGAAGCAATTGTAATAATTTTCTTTATCCTGAGGCAATTTCATTGCTGTTCATATGATGTGTACTATCAGAGCAGTGGAACTTCCAAAGTATCCTGAAGCCATGAAATGTGGAAATCCATCAAAGATCAAGGTCATAGATACTGCCCTATCACTGTGAGAGACAAAGAAACCTGTGAGTCACAAACTGGAAACAGTGTCATGTAACTGCCTTACAGGAGCTGATGAATCCCATATTTCCTAGAAGAATTGTTTAGTCACTATTTCAGGATAAGAAATTAAACTCACTAGGAAGATACAAAAATTCTAGATTATATACACTTCTCAGAATATATTACAGAAAAAATTATAAGAATTACAGGAGAATTTAATAGCCTCACTGTTCTAGTTAAAGATTTTAACACATATCTTTCAATAACTTACAGATAAAGCGGTTAAGGATATAAAAACATTCAACAAAAGAAACAAGCTTACTTTACAGAACATATGTAGAACACTGCAGAATACATATTATTCTAAAGTACTTATGGGACATTTGCACATATTGATCACATGCTAAGGCATAAGTCAGATCTCAAAAAATTTCAAATGATTGGCATTATGAAACACACATTTTTCTAACTTCAATTTAATTAAGAGAAAAAATATCCTCTTCCAAATAAAACAAGATTGTTACATTTGTTTTGAAATTTGGCAGCATATTTTTAAATAACAAATGAGCCAAAGAAGAATTCATGATGAAAGTGGAATGCAATAAGGAGAGCAGTCCAGAGCAAAACCTCTGAGTAGCAGCTATAGCAATGGATAAAAGAAAATTCATTGTCTGAAATGTATTTTTCATAAAAGAAGAAAGGCTGAAAATTGAGTCAAAAATTCAACTTTCAAAATGAGTGCCTGGGTGGCTCAATCAGTTAAGTGACCAACTTCGGCTCAGGTCATGATCTTGCAGTCTGTGAGTTTGAGCCCCGCATTGGGCTCTGTGCTGACAGCTCAGAACCTGAAGCTTCAGATTCTGTGTCTCCCTCTCTCTCTGCCCCTCCCCTGTTCACACTGTGTCTCTCTTTGTCTCTAAAAAATTAAATAAACATTGTAAAAAAAACAAACTTTTTTTAAATGAGGGAAAAGCAGGGGCACCTGGGGGGCTCAGTTAGTTAAGTGTCCAACTTTGGCTCAGGTCATGACCTTGCAGTTTGTGGGTTTAAGCCCCGTGTCCAGCTCTATGCTGACAGCCAGCTCAGAGCCTGGAGCCTGTTTCAGATTCTGTATCTCCCTCTCTCTCTGACCCTCCCCTGCTCATGCGGTCTCTCTCTCAGAAATAAATAAAACATTAAAAAAGTTTTAAATGAGGGAAAAGCATAACATATCTAAAATAAGTAGTAAGAAAGAAGTATTACTGACAATATCAGAAGTTAATACAATAGAAAAAATGTGCAATAGTAAGAGTCAACATACAAGTGAAAACTTGGTTCTTTGGAAAGGCATAAAATTGACAAACTTTAGGTAGAATTGACCAGAAATAAAAAGAAAAAACAAACAAACAAACAAACAAACAAAAACAACCAGAAGGTCCTGGGTAACTTAGTCACTTAAGTGTCCAACTCTTGATTTCAGCTCAGGTCATGATCTCAGGGTTCATGAGATCGGCCCTGCATCAGGTTCTTTGCTGACAGCGCTTAGTATTCTCTCACTGTATCTCTCTGCCCCTCCCTCTCTTTCAAAAGAAATAAACATTTAAAAAAACATAAAAATAAATTTAAAAACCAAAACCAAAACAAATGAATAACAAACAAAAAGCAGAATTAGATCTAGAACTACAGAGAACAAACCGATCTTTGCCAGAGGGGGTGGGTGTAGGGGATTGGGCAACATAGGAGAAGGGGAGGGGGAGGTCCAGGCTTCCTGTTCTGGAAGGAATAAGTCACAGGAATAAAAGGCCCAAAGTAAGGAAGTCAGTCAATGATATTGTAATAGCGATATGACAGTATAGATGGCGGCTACACTTGTGGGGAGCCAAGCATAATGTACATACTTGTCAAGTCACTAAGTTATGCATCTGAAACTAATGTAACATTGTGTGTCAACTCCACAGGAGAAATTTGAGCCGGGATAGGATGTGATCTTACCAAGTAATATGTTAAACAAAAGATGTGCTAGACTTCTCTGGAAACTTTATTGAGAAACATCAAGGCAGACTAAGTAAATGCAGAGAAGCGATGACCATGAATTAGAGGACTTGTTATTAGAAGAATGTCAGTTCTTCCTTAATCTATAGATTCAATGTGATTCAAAACAAATTCCCAGAAGGCCAAGTGTGTGCATGTATATGTGTGGTAAATAACAAGCTAAATTTAACACTTGTGGGGATGAGCACTGAGTGTTATGTGGAAACTAATTTGACAATAAACTATTTGTAAAAAAAGAAAACAAAAAAAAAACAAGCTAAATTTAGAATATACATGCAAGATCAAGGAGCCAGTTAGAAGACAATTCTCTGTACATCCTTGATGTTTCTAAACATCTTATGAGTAGAGGCACTGACTCCTCTTTATTCTCAATTCTTTTTGCAAAAATGTTTGTATGATAAGCTGCCTTGGAATATAGAGATAGTATCTCTTTTGAGAGCAAAAAGTAGCCACCTTCATTACCTGTTATAAAAGATTTGAGTTCTGTAAGCTTACACTCTACTATATAATATACTCCACTGTGTGTGCAAGCTTCCCTCTGGCTCCACATGCATTGCCCTGTGAAGCTTGTGGACAAGGGACACTGACACAGACCTACTCCAGCTCATACTACTTGCTGTGCCGTAGCTAATAAACCCCTTTGTCTCTTACCCAGGGGGCTCATGTTTTCTGTCATCAACCATGAAACTACAGCAGGCAACTTCTCAGCTTTCAAGTAGGGTAAAATCTCAGACCTTTCTTGAAAGGGCCAAGAATAGCCAAGTTACTGGTGTAGAACAACAAAAAGAGTGAACTTAACCTACCATAATTATCACAAAGACATAGTAATTAAGACAATGCAATGTGAAAGCTGAGATATACAAATATATCAGTGGAATAAAATAGAAAGTCCACAGACAGATCTACACATCTATAGATGACTGAAAAAGGATGTAAACTGCGTTCCAAGTCTGTGGGGGGAAAGATGCATTTCTTCCATAAGTGATGTTAAAATAATTGGGTAGCCATATGGAATACAAAGAAATGTGGAAATACCACCAGTTCCCCTACCGTATACTATATATTTAAAAATCAATTTCATGTATGTTAAAAACCTAAATGAAAAAGGTAAAATAAAAAGCCTTGGAAAATAGTATAGAACAATAACTTCAGGACTATTGACAGAGGGAAGGATTTGCTAAAATTTGCAGAAAAAGCTCTAGCCATAAAGCAAAATATTGATAAATTTCTCTACATTAAAAATAAGTGTCCTTTTATCCACAGACACCAGCAATACAGGGGAAAGATGAACCACAAACTAGTAGAGATATTTGCTACACATAAAGTGGATAAAATTTCGTTTAAAATTTTTCATAAAGAAGGGGCGTATGGGTGGCTCAATCGGTTAAGCGTCCGACTTCAGCTCAGGTCATGATCTTGCAGTTTGTGGGTTCAGTCTCCATGTCGGGCTCTGTGCTGACAG